GTTCTCACAGCTCACATCAGGGCCATTCATCACTCAGTGCCCTACCAGCCTAGAGTTCATCCCGTGCTCCATCGGTTCAGAGTTATTCCATGCCAGGTCCTTCTACTGGTCATTCCGGTGCTAGGGGTTCCCTTCAGTCCCCGTTCCCCGCATCAGGGAGTTGTTATGAGTGTGGAGAGTTTGGACATATGAGGAGGCAGTGTCCTCGTTTTCTTGAGGGTCCGTCTTAGCAGAGGAGTCAGCCCTCGACTTTAGCTCCAGTTACTTCACCACCCGCTCAGGCAGCTAGGGGTGGGGGTCAGTCAGCTAGGGGTCACCCCAGAGGGGGAGGTCGATCAGGTGGTGGTCAGGCCCGTTTCTATGCACTCCCAGATAGACGAGATGCTATTGCTTCAGATGCCGTGATTATAGATATTGTCTCAGTTTGCCACAAAGATGCCTTTGTGTTATTTGATCCTGGTTCCACTTTTTCATATGTGTCATCATATTTTGCTCGTTATTTGGATACGCCCCGTGAGTCTCTTGTTTCACCTGTTCGTGTATCTACTCCGGTGGGCGATACTATTTTTGTGGACCATGTATACCGGTCGTGTGTGGTGACGATTGGAGGTCTGGAGACCCAAGTGGACCTTTTATTGCTTTGTATGGTGGACTTTGATGTGATATTAGGCATGGATTGGCTATCTCCGTGTCGTGCTATATTGTACTGTCATGCTAAGACAGTGACGTTGGCTATGCCGGGTGTGCCACGGATTGAGTGGCGAGGTTCGACTGATTTTGTCACCAGTAGGGTAATTTCATTTATGAAGGCCCAGCGGATTTGTCACGACCCAATTTAGGATCATGACCGGCACCTAGGAGCAAGTGCCCCCAAGTAAGCCTTGTCAGCACGTGATTTTTGCCTCGCTCAAATATTCCTATAGAATTCTTAAAATTAGGATTTTTCTTTTATTATTTGAATTTTTATGAGTTAATTGCATGATTTTGTGTTTTGTTTGCATTTTATGTGCATTCTTGTAGTTGTTGTAAAATGAAAGAAAATTACAAAATAGCATAATAGCATCCAATTCTAGCATGTTTTTTAGTAAATTGATATTGCAAAAAATAAAGAAATACCAAAAATATGTCTTTTGCATCTTTTATTTTTGTTTTAGGAATTGGTTAATTTAAAAATTAATTAGTACAATTGTAGAGTTGCTTTGGGGTCTTTTATTTTTTTTATTTAACAAAATTCAGAAAATAATAAATAAACAAAAAAAATCAAAAGAAAAGGAATTAAAAGAAGATAATGGGTCTTCATTTTTGGGCCAAATCCGGGTGAAATCAAGCCCAAAACCCCTCAACCCATTTCAGATTAGTCCAGCCCAAACCCAAACTACCTGGTCCAGTTACCCTATAACAAAACGACGCCGTTTTTGACTCAAATCAATCTCAATCGTCTAGGTTTTTTAATCTGACGGTTGAGAAGTCCCCATCACTTAATATAAATATGTCCAAACAACCCCTACCCCCTCAGGACCCCCCTACCCCCTCAGGACCCCCTACCCTTTGTCTCTCTCAAATCTCACCGGAAACCTTAGTTCCGCCGTCCCCGCCTTAAGCCGCCGGCCGGAAATCGCCTCCCCCAGCGGCGATTGTCCAAATGCTCCCAAATTTTCACCACTGCCTCCCCTTCACCTCCCCTTTCCAAATCCGACCCCCGTTTCCTTCAAATCACACCCAAACACGTCGAATAAGAAAAACCCTAGCGCCGCCTCCAGTATGTCAGGCGGCGGCGCCTCAAAACCCCACCAAACTTACACCCCAGACTCGCCTCACCCTCTTCTTTCCAAATCCACAACCATTAATCTTCAAACCTTACCCAAAACCCTCAAATTTCAAATCGAAAGTTGGCCTGGAACACCTAATTTTTTTTTAGACTGAGGGAATACTGATTTATGGACTATAATAGTCCCTAATCATGTGTTTCCTATGAAAACACATGATTAGGGATGGTTGTAGTCCGATTAAGTCCAAGAAAACCTGCCAGTGTTCGAGTCCAAGTCGAAATTTCGAGGTATTTCATTTTTTCACCTTCTTCTCTATTTTTCTTTTCATTCATGATTGTTATTTTTCATTCTTCTATTTTTACCTAGAATTTCTTTTCATTTTTATTTTTGTGTTTGAGTTAGGGTTTTGATTTAGGGTTCTGATTTTACAGCCATATAGTTTAATTTTGTTATTAGTAATTTGATTGTTTGTTTGATTTTAATCGTATGATTCCATGATGGCTACTGTTTTTACATTTTTATTTTGTTTTGTTGTTAGTTTACTGTTTCATTAGTTTAATAATAAATTTAGTCTTAGAGCACATATTGATCAGAATTAATTCAAAGTTCAAAGTTAGGTTTAGTGGTCAATTTTAGAGGTTTCTATTAGTTTGTTTGGATATAGCTGAATTAGGATTCTTTGAGTTTAACTATAGTTGAATTTTAACTAGGGTAAAAGGGACTAGGGTTTAGTTAGTATATGATAGTAATTTTAGATTAAATGAAGGGTAGTATAGGCATTCCTAAGTAGAGAATAATGCTGTAGTTGACACTAGAACACCCTAGAATCTTCTAAAATAGGGCCTTAGTCATAATTTCAGAAACTTAATGCAGTAACTTGAGAAACAAGTCAGAAAATGAAGGGCTAATGTATAAAAACTGAAAATAAAAAGAGGGAAAAAATGGGTAATGAAATCTAGAAGCTTCCCCTTGATTTTCTGCCTATAAAAGGCATGCATTCTGCCTTCATTCACAAGTTTTGGCATCTAAAAAAAATCCCCCAAAAGCTTCCATAAGTTCGAACCTCTGAAAATTTGAAAATTCAAAAATCCAAAACCAAAAACTGAAGTTTGAACATCTGAAAAGTTCATTTTTAAATCTTTGTTCTTCAAAAAATCCAAAAAAATAGCAAAAAAAACTCCAAAAAATGTTATTCCATTGAAATTTCCCTTAGATTAGTTGCAAATTTCAGCTGTTAATTTGAATTCCTAGCTTAGATAGAGATACATTTCTAGTTACTGAAGTTCAGAGATTATCCTAAGTGATTTCGAGTTATTTTGGGTGTATTTAAGCTGTTTTTGGGTGGTTTACTGGTTGAAATTGGTCCTGGTTTGGTTGATATTGCTTCTGGATTTATAACATTATCTCAAGCTGTTGATTCCTGTTGCTGTACTGCTGTGACACTGCTGACTGTCCATTTTTCCTTATTTTGCCTCAAATTCCAGGTACACTTTAAAACCTCAAGTGTTGTGAGACTGGATCCATGTGTATGACTGCCTTTTGAAGAAGAATATTGAAGGATTTCTTTGTTTTCCTTTGTTTTACGTGAAGCTGTTCTGATTTGTATACTTAGGCGTTAATTCAATAGTGTTATTTAGACTGTCGCTTATTTTGTACTAATTGGACTATATGAACTGTTATTCTTTCAGCTCTAAGTGGACTTTATGAGTAAAGTACCAGCTGTGGTAAATTTCATTTAAGCTGTAGAACAATTTGAAGTCAAACAGGCCTTATAGTTTGAATATAATACTGGCCTTAAGGTAACGCGCTTAATTTCTTATGTTAGTTCGACTTAAGATTGAAGAATGTCATGAAATTGATTCTGAAATTAGTGAATACGCTCATATAAATGTTAAGTTCAGGCCTGTTAAAAGTTTAGTGCAATATTTTAGTATTTGAAATCAGTAATCGTAGGCTTAATTAATCAGTACATTTTCGTTTGCATTAAGTCTCTGATTTTAAGGATTCAATGTAGGTATAAATTTCTTCATGTTCATTCATTGCAAGCTTGTAGCAGTTCATTACCTTAAGTATGGGTTAAACATGAAACTCGTTTTTAACAAAATGGCAGCCCCTTACTTGAATAAGAGTTAGGCCTAAAATTTGTTGTCTAAAGACCCAATGTGAGACAATTTCTCATGAAGCTAATCGTATTTTCACATTCCTGGACTGACTTTTGAGGCCCAAAAGAATGCTGAAGGCTTAAAATCACACTAAAGTTATAGGATCAATTTTATGACATAGGTTGTGGGCCTTCTAGTTAAGTAGCATGCTTGAATTAAGAGGTTTTCCTCTTGTTCAAGTGTGGACTTGAACTGGAGGCCCAAATTCCTTGATTACTTTTAATAATAGCAATTAACAATGTTAATTAATTAGGCCCCCTTTTAGAGACAATACTTAATAGAAAATCATAGTTCTTTTAGGTTGGCCTTAAAATGAAACGAGGGGCGCCACGCCAAATAAAACTCATAAATTGCGTGGCCCTCTTTAAATGTTTATATTAAAATATTTTAGACCTTGGGACGTGCCATTTAGCGAATTCCATGGCCTCCCGCAAAGTAATAATACGCTAGTTGCTTTAGGCCCGGCATTTAATAATATTACTTTCTTAAACTCGGGTGCACATTTATGTGACCCAAATCCAAATCCCAACGAAGTCGAAATGTGTCAAAATCCACGGGTGCATTTATGTGACGTGGTTCGAGACGTATTTTCACGACGTTGCAATCTTCCTTAAAAATAATAATAAAAGCGGTTTAAAGTTAAAAAGCACATAGGTTAAAACATGTATTAAAATCAGATTTTTAGCCAATTATAATAATTTAAGCGACCGTGCTAGAACCACGGGATCCGGGGGTGCCTAACATCTTCCCTCGGGTCAACAGAATTCCTTATTCAGAATTTCTGGTTCGCAGACTCCAACTCGGAAGTCGAAATTTTTCTCGATTTGGGATTCAAGTTAAACCGGTGACTTGGCACACCAAAAGCCAGTCCTATCCCAAGTGGCGACTCTAAAAATAAATAAATAATTCCATTTCGAATAATGTCACTTTAAATGGAAAAAATTCCTTATACATTATCCTCCGGAGTAAGTGTGTAAAAAAAGGAGGTGTGACAAGCCTCAACGGTATTTTACAGAAAATCGGACAGAGTTTCCCCTATTTTTGGACTATCCCAAAAATTTCCCTATCTCAATCAGCAACCAAACATCCTAATATCATACCAAACAATTGACAACTTATCAATTTGCCAAAACCGAAGTCTCCACCATTACTAATCAACCCACTAACAACCAGAAACACTAATTATCTCCAATTTTGATACTAAAGAACGATACTCAACATAAGACTAATAGCAAAATAATACTCATGACACTAAAAGAATGACTATAGAGCGACTCTAAGAATTTAAAGGAAAGACCATAACAATTGATAAAAATCTCCGCCCACGCGAACAAGTGCGAGGCTCACCAAGAATTCTCAACTTGTGCGCTCTAATTAACAAAACCCTCACCTGCGTCAACTGATGTCTCTGTAAAAAAAATTAGCGGGGAATGAGTCGCTAGCTCAGTGAGTAATAACACTTAACCACAATCGTTTTTATTGGGGACAAGTCAGAAAATATGCTAGTATATTAAACAGAAATTATCATAAAAATGCCCCTTTCAGAAACTATAATAAACAATTTTCAGTCTCATCATGTTTTTCTTGTAGTATAATACGATTGACAATTCCGTAATAAGCTCGGTAACCACTGTATAATATCAATATTCATATTTGGGAGGTTTCAATGAACGGATCATGTAATCGGTATAACTGTGGACTTCTTCGCAAGAAGTCAAATATAACGGTAGTCCCTACTCGAGGGAAATCGATAACGGCATGCTAGTTCTACCTTCCCACTAGCGAGGGCTATAACGGTAATTGGTAATTACAAGGTGCACCAGGTCTAACGAACCCGCCGTTAGCTACGGGATCCTTCAATATCTACTCCCATTTATATTTGTCTCTGTAATCCGTATATATACTCGTAGAAACTATTATAAAATAGTATAGGGCATTTCGGTTCTTATCAAATCATATAATTTCCTTTCGATAACAGTAAATTCAAGTAACGGTAAAACAGATCTAGTGACAACGAAAATATTTAAAACCACGGTATTCATCTCAAATAACTATTTCGGTATCATATCGAGTAAAAGACTTGTCCCACATGCAACTCAAAATAATCGGTAACATATTCATATTAAAAAATCATGTGTAAATCATGCAAGTTATGAAAACACAAATTGCGGTAAGATTACTACTCACAGTACTCGTGCAGAAATATCAAACTTATCGTTGCGAGCACTTCGTTTGACTTCTTCAACTACCTATATCGTTACAAAATCAGTTTATGTATTAACTCCACGAGCACCAGTATAGTCGGTTAAATTTTGTTGAACTTAATTCTTTCCTTGTTCTCAGAATATCTTGTTTAATTCCCAAATAACCTAAACTAGTCCAGTATCTTCTTAAAAAATGTTCATATAGTTTATTTTTCTATAATATTAAAGAAGACCAAAAGTTCTTTTTCCTGGACATAGGAATCAGACGTAATCTAAAATATCATTGCTGCCCATAATATTTTTTATTGATTATTAGTTTTCTATATCTTGTGGAATCATTCAAACGGAAACGAGATTTAAAAAGTTACCAGAAGAAAAGAACTCATATGAAAAGTTCGAGTATTACCCGTAAGAGCCAGTACATATTTAAAATTTTCGAAGTTTGCTTCCAGCCTCTTTCTTCTTCTTCTCCTTTGTTCCTCTTCTGCGTCCCTTTTTCCCCACTTGTATAGCTTCTGTTTTAGATGCGCAAGGCTGGTTCCCATTTCCCCCAAATCTTTCTTTTTTATTGTGTTAAAATCCTAAAAGAAAAAGGACTCAAAACTCCTTTCTAGTTTCTAGTTACGCCTCTCCTCTTTTGGTGGGCTTTGACCCACCTAGATTTTATTATTTAATTACTTGTTTATTTATCTTATTTTTTTCACTTTTGTCTTTTTCAGTTAAGTTCTAATAAAGGATAATTATGCCCTTATTTTACATACGGGGTATTACATTCTCCACACTTTATGAAATTCGGTCCCCGAATTTAGCACAGGTATATACCTATAGACTGAAATAAATGCAGATACTTGACTCGCATAGTATCTTCCACTTCCATTGTAGCTTTTTCAATTGTATGGTTTCTCCATAATACTTTCAGGATCACAATTTCTTTCGATCGTAGTTTTCTTACTTGTCTATCAACATTAATCATTGGCTCTTCGTCATAAGTTAATTTCTGATCAAGTTGCGTAATTGGTGCTTCAAGCACATGAGATGAGTCCAATATACAATTTTTTTGGAATAGAAATATAGAACACTAGATAGAAAAGAAAGAAAAAAAAATAACCCCACCCCTTCGAGTATCTCTTATAATCTTACAAACCTTGGATTTATCTTTCCTATTTTTCCAAATTGTATCACACCTTTCACAAGGGAGACTCGTATGATCACTCGGTCTCTAGCTGTAAATTCTAAGTCTATTTTCTTTTCTCTTATCTGCGTAAGACTTTTGTCTGCTTTGTGATGTAAGTAATATCTATCTGATTAACTGGGCCTTATCAATAGCTTCTTATACTACTAAGCCTGAACCCAATACATTAGCATCATTGTTTTTAATCATCTAATAAGGGAGCGAATTCGTCACAACGTTTCATACGATGCCATGCTCTAACCTAAAGTTATCATTATAGTTAAGTTCAGCTAAAGGTTGAGAATCATCCCAACTACCTTCGAGAGCAAATATTCAAGCTCTTCAACATGTCCTCCAAGATTTGTATAGTACGCGGACTGCCCGTTTGACTATAGATGAAATGAAATACTAAGACCTAATCGTGTACTCGATACTTCTTGAAAAGATTTTCAAAAGTGTAAGGTGAATTGTGATCCTTGCTAGTGATGATGAACACGGAAATCTCGTGTGAAGTTAGAAATTTCTTTCATGTATATTTACGCATATCTTGCCCCACTATATGTAGTTTTGATCGATAAAAAGAATGCTAGTTTGATAAGCCGATCTACAATTACCCACACAATTTCATGACCTATAAGCATTCAAGGTAGTACCGTCACAAAATACATGGTAACTCTTTCCCGTTTCTACTTTGAGATCTCTAGTTCTTGTACTAAACCAGAGGGCCATGGATGTTCAACCTTGTCCTGCTCACAAGTTAAATAACTAGAAATAAAGCTAATAATTTTTTTTCCCTTCCCACCACTATAATTGCTTCAGGTTATGGTGCATATTCGTGTATCAAAAGTCTTGGGCTTCATCAAGAGTCTATAACCCGTCTCAACCCATCTACATGTGCTACACATGATCTATTACCTAATCGAAAAGAAAAAGAACACCATCATTGCCAGGAGTTATATCCTTGAGTTTACCAGCTAGGACGTCATCTTAGTGTTTGTAAAATCACTCACCCTCGTATTGACTAGACTTTATGCACACTATATCAGGGTTGACCAATATCCAATAATGCCTTTGAATTTTTTTTTTCACATTGAATCTTATACATGTACCCTCTAGTCATGCATATCTTTGTCAAGAACTATCTTTACAGGAGCTATATGCGCCAAATTACCCATGTTTTTGTTTTCAATGCATAAGCCAAAATATTTATCTTTCTCGAAAAATACCAAATAGTATATTTATATCTTTAGTAGTTCTCTCCATCAGCATTGCTAAATATTTATCTCTATGCTGGTTTTAAATGTACTTCAAGCTCTTGTGCTATGTATAAATCTCATAGGTTTCTTCGTATAAATAATGCCCTACAGTGTGACCATCTCCGGATCCTGAGTGGCATAATTCGACTTGAACTTCTTTAATTTCCTTGAAGCATAAGTTATCACACAACCATTATGCATGAGAAAATATCCTAATTCTACCCTAGAAGCATCATAGAACACCATGATTCCTCTAGAGCCTATTATCATGAGGCTAACATTGGTGTGGTTGTCAAACATGCCTGAGTTTCTGGAATCTCATCATTTACTCCTCCATCCATTGAAATTTAGCAATTTTCCATATTAACTTGGTGAGTAGTGGTGCTATTCTAGAGAAATCCTACACAAATACCTGTAGTAGCCTGTCAAGCCAAAAAAATTCAATCTATGTAAGAGAAATGGGTCTCGGCCATATATGAACTACTTCTATCTTCTCAGAATCTACCATGTTTTCATTCTTAGATACCATGTGCCCTAAGAATACCAAATCTAGCCAAGATTCACAATTAAAGAACTTATCATTAAGTCGATATTCGTGCAGTGTTTGCAACATATTCCTCAGGTGAACCTCATGCACTTTCCGGCGACAAGAATATACCAGAACATCATCAATAAGCACAACAACAAATATAGGGAGAATCGCCTTTAACAACCTATTTATTAAATCCATGAATGAAGCTGAATTATTGGCCAATACAAGAAACTCCTAGTGCTCGTTTGAAAGTCGTCTAAGGAATATCTTCGTCTCTAATTCTAACTGGTGATAACAGGACCGAGGATCAATTTTTTTTTTCCTGGAAGTGGTAACTCCCTTTAACTATGAAATAGGCCATCTATATGAGAAAGATATTTTTCTTCTTCTTCTTCTTTTTTTTTTGCGCATTGCCACCTTATTTTAATTGCATGTAGTAGATGCACATTCTAAAAGATCTGCCTATCCTTTTTTTTATTTTTTTTTACAAAAAAATATCAGTGCACCCCAAAGTGATATATTCGATCTGATAAAATCCTTGTCAGTAGGTCATGTAACTCTTTATTTAGTTCTCTTTGCTTCACTAGTTCAATAAAATATGGAGGTATTGATATAAGTTGTGTCTAGTGCCACGTCAATTAAAAATTTATTTCTCGTACTCGGGTTAGTACTAGTAAATCCTTAGAAATACATCAAAGAATTCTCTCACTATTAATACTTTTATTTTTCAAATTAAGTTTCACATCTCTTGGATCCCTTTACGGAAGTTACAAGACCATAACCACTCTTATTCAATAATTATAGAGCCTTCTTAAATGATATAACCTCGACTATCACTAGGATATAATTACTTCTGTTTATTTTAATTTTTTTTTTAAAATTAGGTTTACTAGATATGTCATTCTAACTATCTTCGCATGATAATAAAATATAATGTGGTAAGATGATAACCAATCATACATATAAGCACGTCAAAATCCACAAGGTCAAGTACAATTTGGCTAGATATGGTATCCTCTCTCTGAACTTGAATCTGATAAGCTTAATACAAAGTTTCAACTGTACGAGATTCTTCCATAAAAGTGGCAACTAATAAAGGATCTCATAATATCTCAAGACGTTATTTATCTAACTCTTCGTCCCATATAAGAAAATAAATTCATACTTTTTTCTAGTCTCTACCTTCTTAAATGAATTCTTAGTTGCATGACAATCACATCCAGTTCTTAAATTATTATTTTTTTTTGCAAGTTCAACTTCCACATATAGGTCAGGGTCTTTGTATGTGAGAGTATTGCCTTTTTAAACGGTTAACCAACCATTAGACAAGACTCTAAACCTAAGGCATCACGTATTTAGCCAGTTAATAAAGCCTGGTGTTACATGTCAGTACATCCATCATCTGAATTAATTTTTTAAGTACCTATCAGGTTTGCGCTTTCGATTATCGAGAAGGAAAGAATCATTAAAAGTTTACTAAACTTATTTCTAAGTCATTTGTGTCACTCCTAACCGCGTCCCTAACAATATGGTTCCATTCTATATATTCGTCATATACTCCAGTCGATAAGTTGCTAGATCAATAGGTCTCTCACTGGAATATTATAGAACTCATAATACTTTAAGTATTTCTTCAAGAACCTTTGAGGATCCTCTACATTATCAGAAAATGGTAAACTTAGTGGCTTCAATTTTAGGAACTCTATTAGAGAAATATCTTGGTTCCTCACTTAGTCTAAATGCATGAGGCTTCTAGAGCCCTTTGTTGTTGATCATTCTTCTCTTGTCTGTCCAATATATATGTATCCATCGAGAACTCCATTTACCTTGCATGAAGGTAATTACTTTTTGTAATGGCACTCTCCTGATGCTATAGTGGTGAACTCGTACTAATTTCAAGAATAGACTCTATTACACATCTTAGCGGTAAGACTCTCATTGTGGAAAAACAGGCCTTTCATTGGCCTTGTCTACTACTTTTGTCACTTTTCGAAGTTAGGAGATGATTTCCTATCTAGTGGCAAAATTTGATGTCATTGAACCTCTAGCCAAATTCTATTATCGGGTGATTGATCTGAGTAATACAAGAAAAGGATAGCGATGACAGATTCAGTTATTTGACCCTAATCGCCACACACGTACGGAAGAATAAGAAAGAAAGAGAGAAAGACACATCCTATCATGCCCTCGCAGAATCACGATTATGGGAATGGCCGGCTATATAACCATAATTGAGATTCTACTACCGATATGTGCTCCATTAGTCACAAGAATAACCTAGGGCTCTGATACAAACTTTGTCACGACCCAATTGAGGATCATGACCGGCACCTAGGAGCAAGTGCCCCCAAGTAAGCCTCAACGGTATTTTACAGAAAATCGGACAGAGTTTCCCCTGTTTTTGGACTATACCAAAAATTTCCATGTCTCAATCAGCAACCAAACATCCTAATATCATACCAAACAATTGACAACTTATCAATTTATCAAAACAGAAGTCTCCACCATTACTAATCAACCCACTAACAACCAGAAATACTAATTATCTCCAACTTTGATACTAAAGAACGATACTCAACATAAGACTAATAGCAAAATAATACTCATGACACTAAAAG